ACTACATTCACAATCCAGCTTGTACACTCCTGCATCTTGCAGAGGAATATTACACTTGACTGATGGTAAAAACTGACTAATCTTCTTCGGCGGCTTGAAATATGTTTTAATGGAAGCACGCTTCAAGATGTAGCCAATCTTGTCAGTGACACCTCTGACATATGGCAGTACAGCAGGCACTCGCTCGACTGTGGCCGGCTTCACTCGTTCACTGTGACGTAGGCGCGGGACCCGAAGCTTATTGTCGTGCAAAACTTGCTTGACGTGTTGGAGCTCGGCAGCCAGGTGTTTACTGTCACAGATCCCTCGTGCTCTCTGAAACAAAGATTTACCCACGGTAGCTAACTGTGAAGGATGGTGGTGAGAATCACCGTTTAAATATCTATCTGTATGGGTCTTTTTTCTATACACAGTGTGGCTCAAGGTGTTATCAGGATTCCGAATTATTAACACATCTAGAAAAGCTAAAGAATTGTTTGCCTCTAACTCCATTGTGAACTGAATTTTGGAATTTAAGGAGTTAAGATGGTCTAAAAATGCAGTTACTTTATCTAAAGGTAGAATTGTGAAAGTGTCGTCTACGTACCGCTTGTAAAATCTTGGGTTTATGGGAGAAGTAAGCAGGGCTTTCTCCTCAAAGTCCTCCATGAATATATCGGCAACATTGGGAGATACAGGTGAGCCCATCGCCACTCCATCTACTTGCTTGTAGAACTCCTCCTTCCACAATACCTTTTTATTAAAAATATTTTTATTATATGATGTAACTAAAAATTTATCTTTTCGCAATTTTTCCTTTACCTGTGCTATAAAAAGTTGCTTCGTACCAAACTTAAAGGTTCTGAGTTCACGGGAAGTACCCTGTAGGTTTTGATTCCTTTGCGAAAGTCGAAAATTTGCGGCATAAACGGCTGTATCTTTTGATTGCGTTGGCTTAGAAGTTTGATATTTTCACAGCTCTAAGGGAGAGTAGACCTCAGTCAGTCAGCTTTATACCTCCACGCGTTCCTGAGAAAAAGGATCTTGACAGACAGACAGACAGACGGACAACAAAGTGATCCTATAAGGGTTCCGTTTTTTCATTTTGAGGTACGGAACCCTAAAATATATTGCAATCTCCAAATGCACATGGAAGTGATTTGCCATCCCGCGCGACAGTTTGCAGCTGACGTATCTGATACTTATAATTGTGATAGATAATGATTCATCATCATCATCATTACAGCCCTTCACAAGTCCACTGTTGAATATAGGACTCCCCTTAGGAATACCACAAAGCACGGTCCGGAGCTACTCAAAAACAGCACGTAGACGCGGCTAACGAAGGAATTTTGGACCGCATTAATACCTGCAACAAAAAATGTATTCTGTTTGAAAATCGCAAGTGCTTAGGAAGTTGGTTCAGCACCTAAACAATGCCTAAATGAAAACTTACCCCGAAAAAAGTAATGATCACTGTTTGGTGGCCTAGCGTCGGTGTGATTCATCACAGCTTCTTACCAAATGGGAGAAGCATTACTGCAAATGCGTACTGTCAAGAACTAAACACAATGATGGAGAAGCTCGCACGTCTCCAACCAGCTTTCGTCAATCACTCGTCCACGCTGCTCCTACACGACAACGCGCGACCTTATACTGCACAACAAACGGTCTCAAAGTTACAAGAGCTATGGTTGGAAACTCTACATCATCCGCCGTACTCACCAGATCCTGGCCTATAGACTTTTCCAGAAGTTGGATAGATTTTGGCGGTAAAAAAAATTCAATACCCGAGAGTCACTACAAAATGTCTTTGAAGAATTTGTTGTCTCCCGTCCAGCTGATTTCTTCAAGAAGGCATTATTAAACTGCCACTGCGTTAGCAAAGATGCATCATCAATTGCATGAGTTATTACTTACATTAATAGAAATTAAAAATATAGAAAATAATACATTAACTTATTTAATTAAAAACGACAATTTCGTAGGTAATTAACTAATATTAATGTTCGAAGTACATGTAATGTAAGAAGATGTCAATGAGGAGGAGACGTATTGTTTTGTCTAGGACTTTAATTATACTACTCTATCTAAATACTAATTTTTATTATAAAAATATTGTCTCTAAACAGAATATGATCCTCCATTCCCCATCCCAGATTCCCCTATACAAATAATAATTCCGTAGTCACAGTAAAGTTGCTAGGATGTATCATGCATACATACAGCATACATATTTCGTATGAGTACTGGTAAGAAGTCCTATCTAAATAATTTGACAAATACTTCTTCTTACGGCAAATTGTCTTATCGGTCGGTGTGAATTATTCATAAAAACGTTGAAAGCGTAGTTTAAATTTGTCGCCAAATATAAGATCTGTTTCAATTGGTCCTTACTCAGACTTCAACTTGACCAAATAATATATATAATATTGCTTTGACTGCAAGTAATAAATCTTAGCTATTTTGAACTGGCTGTGACAGTTTGTTAGAATTTTTTGTTGTTGTTTGCAATAAACAAAAGTTTGCAGTGATAGTCAACATAAATATCTTTCGATGTGTTAACTACGTAATTAATTATGACATATTTTTACCCATTTTTTATTTTTTTTAGTATATATTCTAAAATAATTTATCTGCGTTTAAAATAGGACATTTTTCTTTGATTTCAATGAATTCGCGAATGATTTTTTGTTGATAATTTGGGTCACATAGGATATTTTGTTTTGCCATAATGGTAATTTAATTATTATAAATTTATCTATTTCTAGTGGGATTTAATAGAACTATGAAATTTTCGTGAATTTAATCAAAAAAAATCAAATATGAGGTGAGTTTATTTGGAATACATTTAGAAGTCTAAATTTTGAATTCTGCTCTTCTCTTTTCTTGAAGGTCCATAAGTTGTAACGGTCGGGAAAATCGGTGGTGGTAGTCGATTCCACAAGGAGGTTGTGCGAAGAAGAAAATTCACAGTGATAGATCGCCAATCATCAAAATGATATGGATGGTATCGTGAGTTTCGCGATGGGTAATGGTTAAATTTAGTGGAATTACTGCGAACAATTTCTTTGAGAAGGAGGGCAAACCAATAACAGATGGTTCGCTCGTTTGTAGTATTTGTTCCGTAAACGTCGTTGATGTTGCGTGCCGCTTGTGCCGCGTAACAGGCACATAATCATATTCCATAATTACTAAAAACATTCAAATGCGATAAAAACTTAACGCTAAGATGACTAATTTTGAGAAAAGAATTCAATATTTTTCAAATAAAATTAATATGAAATTAAAATTCTTAGCTAAACAAAAATTATTTCGATTTGACATGACCAGTACTGCAGAATGACAATTACATAGGTACAAGCCTGGTCATCGTAAAATATAACTTGACCTATTGCATTTTTTTAAATATACAATACATACTAAAATATTATTAAGTGATAGAATTTGATAATTTTATATAGGATAAGGGTGAAAAACGAGCACACAGTCCACCCGATGGCAAGTAATTGCTGTGACCCATAGACATCTACATCTATCCTCCATTACGTATCAAAGTGCAGATGTGACAACGCATAGGAGGACTAAGATGGAATGCCTCATTTCCAGTAAAAAGTATTATACGCGGTAGAGCCATGCTGCAGCTATATTATTAAAATAGTTGTAGCACGAACGGGTATGTTCGACCGGGGAAGGATCAAGCTCTCACAGAAGGATTTCGTATGGTGAGTGTAGAGAACCGGAGACTCTCTTTACTGGAAACGTCGCATTCCATCTTGGTCTTCACGGGTGACAACGCACCTGCATTTTTATTCGTAAACGTGGATAGATATATGTAGATGTCTATGGGCCACAGCAACCATTTATATCAGGTGGACTGTGTGCTCGTTTGTCATCCTTATCCTATAAAAAAGGGTCTCCTGTTAAAGTTATTTATAAATATCGTACATTTAATATTTAATCCATTAAAATTTTATTTAATATATTCTAAAAGATAATAAAATAAATTAAAATTTAGTGATAAAAAATTACGAGCATGCGATGTTACCTCTAATATTCTTCTGGATTATTTCGGCAAATTTTTCTTAATCTTCTCGCCTTGGCGTACTGGAATTTAATTTCTTCTATTCTCATAAATTAATTTCAATAATTTTCTTTTTAAATTATGATTCACGGAATACTTTTTCAACATTTCATTCATAAATAAAAATTTGGACTGCTATTGCTGGTGCTGCACGCTGGACTACAATGCCTTCTATTGTTTTTTGTATATAATTTTATCTTCACGTCTTCGTTCTTTTCATTATATTTTCTTCCTCAATGTTTTCTTCATTAGTATATCTTTCAGTGATTTCCGCAAACATTTCTAATATTGTGACCTTTTCTTACATTCGCATTTAATTTTTCTTTTCGTCATATTTAATAAAATTGTGGCAACTTTATAAAATTAAAGTTTTTTTATTTATTTAAAATATTTTGCAAATCAAAATACTTAATATAGCGGAGTCAGCTATAGTACTGCGGGCGTGTTATATGATGTTGATATCAATGACTACAGCGCTTATTACTTTTTCCAAAATGCTGTTGAAGATTATACAGTTGAAATAATTTATATTTGGAACATACTGTCGTAACGAATACTTTAATAACGATTTATTATAACTTGTTAGTGATAAAATCTTAAAAGGACGACTTTGTTGGTTCTGACGACCCAAATAGACTATTAAACAAAAAGATATGATATTCTTAGGGAATTCCTCTTATCGGGTAATTTATCGAAGCGGATTATTTATAATGATCCAAATTTATCTTAACAATTAAATTATTATGATATGATAAGTCCATTAAACTTTCTCCTCCGGGCAGCTACTTATAATTTCTTGACAGACATACTATTAGGTTCAACAAATCAGTCATTGGACTAATTTGTTGGCTCGACCCGGGAACTCATGATCAGGAGTTGTGCTTACGACCATTAATCAACGAAACCGCGATTATTACTTATATGTAGTATTAACTAAATGCGACAAGACGACAACTTCAGATTATTTTTTGCTCCAGGCTGGCCTAGTTCTAGGGGCGACCTGTCTAATCCTACCCTTATGCAACAACATCGTGAGATTTGCAAATCAACGCAAATCAACGTTACCGCAACCGTGCGTTAGTATTATGTTAAGTCAGTGCCATTTTCAGCATCATGTCACTCATGCAAATGCAAATTTAAGTCTGTTTTCTCTTATTTATTTTTGTCTTTGATGTTTTTATGTTTTTTCTTATTCTTCCCTAACATTTTTATTTACTGTATCAAAACTGTATGAGTGTAAGTTGCTAAATAAATACATGTTTATTGTCTGTAGATATTTGATGAAGTATCTACAGACAATGTAGATACTTATACATTGGCTTACAAAATGCTGTAACCGTGGCATATTTATAAGCAAACTATAGAATGCGCGGATGCGAGTAGAAACAGTAAGTACGGGTATGAACAGTCTTGAAATGGCAAGGGCGACGTTATTAGTCACAAAAGGTCACCCGTGTTCATAGTATTTCTCGACGGTAAATTAGTATTTATTTGAATTTTAATTTACGATTCACGGAAGCAACTTAAGAAAAACAATGATTTTTATTTTCATCGGTATGTATTTCGATAAGAGAACACTGACTTTAAAAAAATACATAGGGTGTCGCAGAGTATAGCGAGACGCTAGAGTGACACAGTAAATGCCCCGCGCCTGGTGCTTCGGGTCTTCCCCTAATTAGAGCTAGTGCTGTGCCACGTTATACACGAATGATTTTTAATAACATGATTTCTTTCGTGATAACTATAATACTAATAATAATTGTAATAATAATATAACCCGTATGGATCGATGTCTAAAATAAAACTTTTAATAGCTATGATACATAGGAACTTAACAAAGTTTAATGCGGTTAAATACTTGTGTAATTTCAGATTTTCAAAAGGCGGCGAATTGACATATAAGTGAATGACAGCGATAAAAATGGCCAACTGGCTGCCAATTATTAAGAGTTTTGTTTGTTCTATATAGTTCAGGGCTTGGACCATCTTGAAAACGAAGGGCGGGATGCGCAACTTGGTTGAGGTGCAATACTAGGGCTTTTTTATAGGAGAGAGAGTAAACGAGCATAGGGCTCACTTAATTATTATTATTATTCTCGGGAAAACGTCACCGAGTACCGGAACAAACTTGTGTCTGAAGTCGAGTCTTTGCTGGACAAAGTCTCGGATTGGGGGCGACTAAATCTAGTCCAGTTTAATCCTCAGAAGACACAAGTTTGCGCGTTTACCGCTAAAAAGAACCCCTTTGTCGTATCTCCTCAGTTTCAAGGTACTCCCCTTGTTGCCTCAGCCAGTATCGGAATCCTTGGCGTCGACATATCGAGTAGCGTGCAGTTTCGTGGTCACTTGGAAGAGAAGGCCAAATTGGACTCTAAAAAGCTTGGCGTGCTCAGCAGAGCGGGACAGTATTTCATGCCGCTCAACGCCTGCAACTTTACAAGGCGCAGGTTCGGCCTCACATGGAATACTGTTCCAATCTCTGGGCTGGGGCTCCCCAGTGCCAGCTTCTTCCACTTGACCGCATCCAGCGCAGAGCGGCTCGAATCGTCGACGACCGAGTCCTTTCCGATCGGCTCGACTCATTGGCACTGCGAAGAGATGTTGCATCTCTTAGCATTTTCTTTCGCATTTACCATGGGGAGTGCTCTGAGGAATTGTTCGGATTAATCCCAGCCGCCAAATTTCACGAACACACATCGCGGCTGAACTCCCGATACCATCCACACCATCTGGATGATTGGCGGTCCACCACTGTGCGATTTAGAAGATGTTTTCTTCCTCGCACAACTTCCTTGTGGAATAGTTTACCACCAGCGATTTTTCCGGACCGATACGACTTAGGGACCTTCAAGAAAAGAGCCTACTCCTTTTTAAAAGGCCGGCAACGCATCTGCAATTCCCCTGGTGTTGCGGTTGTTCATGGGCGGCAGTAGTCACTTACCATCAGGTGAGCCGCATGCTCGTTTGCCCCCTCTCCTATAAAAAAAAAAAAAACTTAATGGTAAGTGACTACTGCCGCCTATGAACAACTGCAACACTAGAGGGATTGCAGGTGCGTTGCCGGCCTTTTAGAAAAAAGTAAGCTCTTTTCTTGAAGGCCACTAAGTCGTATTGGTCCGCAAAAACCGCCGATGGTAAATTAATCCACAGAGAGGTCGTACGTGGAAGAAAACTCCTAGTGAAATATACAGAGGTGGATCGCCAAGTATCGGGAGTTTAGCCGCGATGTGCGTTCATGAAATTGGGCAGCTGGGATTAATTTCAACAATTCTTTGGAGCACTCCTCGTAATAGATGCAAAGGAAATGCGAAGGGATGCAACATCTCTTCGTAGCGCCAGTGAATCGAGCCAATCGGAAAGGACTTGGTCGTCAACGATTCGAGCTGCTCTGCGCTAGATGCGATCAAGGGGAAGGAGCTGGCACGGGGAAGCCCCAGCCCAGCCCGATGGGAACAGTATTCCATGTGAGGCCGAACCTGCACCTTGTAAAGTTGCCGGCGGTGAACCGGCATTAAATACTGTCCAGCTCTGCTGAGCACGCTAAGCTTTTTAGAGGCCAATTTGGCTTCCTTTTCCAAGTGACCACGAAACTGCACCTTACTCGATATATTGACGCCGAAGATTCCGATGTTGGCTGAGGGAACAAGGGGACTGCCTTGAAACTAAGGAGATACGACAAAGGGGTTCTTTTTTGCGGTAGTCGCGCAAACTTGTCTATTCTGAGGATTAAACAGGACTAGATTTAGTCGCCCCCAATCCGAGACATTGCTCAGCAAAGGCTCTCGGTACTCGGCGACGTTTTCCCAAGAAATATTGGCACGGCCGTTGTATAGAGTATCACCAGTGATGTCACCCAAATAACAATTAATGTTTCCTGTTTGCAACATATCATTGATATGCAAAAGAAACCGCGTTGGTGTTAGCACACAGCTTCGTGGAAAATCAGTATTAATACGCTTGTAATCAGAGCATGCACCGTCTGCAACTACCTTGATGCTCTGATCTACAGAAAGCTGGTGATGAAATTGCACAATTTCTCGGGAAGCCCATATGAAGGGATCTTTGAAAGAACCGCTTTGTACCAAACCCGATCGAACGCCTTCGCTATGTCCAAACTAACGGCCAATGCCTTCCCCTTGGACTTCGTCCATCTATGAGTGAGGTAGACCAGAAGATCACCAGATGATGGACCCCGACGAAAACCGTATTGGCAGTCACGAATCAGCTGGTGGATCCAGGTACCGCATGAGCTGGCACTTTATAATGGATTCCATTATTTTGGAGAACAAGGAGGTGATGGCGATAGGTCTATAGTTAGATGGGTCTGAGCGGTCGCCTTTTTTAGGGATCGGGTGGACGAAAGCTATCTTCCATGATTTAGCTTAAATTTGAAGTAAGGTTACACTTATTTTAAAGCGACTAAAACTAGGCTCTACAGTTATTTACTTAGTTAGTACCTGCGTAATAACGTTTGTATTTTAACAATTTTTTCAAAACGAATGGATGAATGGATATCATTCAAAAGAATATTGACATTAGATTGAAACATCTTATACCTACGTAAACCTGCGATTAAACAATCAAAACGACTATTTTATAATAAGTTAACACATTTTAAGGGGTTGTAAATTAATTAGATTTTTATGATTGATTAATAAACATCGTTTTATAAATTCATTCCTGTTTTTACTGACCTGCTGAAATAAACTAATTAAAATTAACACATAGGCGTCAACTATGGCTCATCACTATTCAACAGCTTCATCTACTCGTATGCATCAGTATCTGTTCGCGCCAAACGCTAATTTCAGGAACTAACGCGAGAGGGCACGCGGCTCGGTGCCATACCGGTTTTGACGGCGGTCGAGCAGTGGGTGTTGAGAACGCGTAAAGGCGAAAGCCAGTAGTCTGCCAGCTGTGCTAACGCCAGCACGCTGTCAATTTCGTTCGGGAACTCGGAATAATTAGGCGCGGATAGTAAATATTCTGTCTAGGATTTGTGACGCGCATTCCTTGCTGGAGAGCTTCCCAGGGACTCAATGTGTCGGACTCAGAATCTGTATAAGTGCATTCGACAATATTAGCTAAAGCGGCCTTTGATAGTCTAGAAATAACTGTTGCTACGCGAAGCGGTAGTGACCTTTGATCCGGACACTCCCTGTTCATTTTGTATGTTAGGCTTTATAACAAACGAGAGTTAGTGGATTCTGTAAGTTAGTTAATAGTACGATAGAGTTAATGGACTGTCATCGTGACGAACGAAGACAGTGACTGTGGACGGCGCCGCGGAAGACCTCAATTTAGAGCAGCCTGGAACTCGGCCGCTGCTGATCGCCTATGCTTGCCAAGGCCCCACACATTCACACCTCACTGTACACTACTCGCCATCCACTATTACACACACTCACGGCCTGCCCAAGCTTTGGTGCGAAGTTAGCTTCGGATAAGTACGATGTGTTTCTAGCTTTCTCCATATTGTTTATTGTAATTAGGAAATTCCGCGTGGCCATATTCTGGCCCCGTCCCTCTGCTCTGCGTCGATGGGATTACACATGGGCTCTAATCCCGTCATCCTTGGTTGGGGCAGCTAGGGGCGTGTACAGTATCTATAGTAGATCTGCTTGCCCTTGGCATAATGGACAATAATGAGCCATACGCGGGTTCTATAGGTCTTTGATTTTGAACGTTAAGAATGTTGAAACATTAACATTAGAAAAAAAAATTTTTAAGAAAGTATTATCATGATACTATTTAGCACTATTAAGATACTACAAAATCTATGTTCACAGTTTAATTCAAATGAACAGCTTAGTAAAATGAATCATTTACTTGTGAAGTATAAATAAGGATTATCTTAATATTATTATCAGTTAAGTGCCTAATTTTAGCGGTATATATAGGTGGCTTTTTAAGTCTGATGCAGTAGCGATGGACGAATATAAAATGAGTTACCTATCCGTAGTTCTCCTGTATATATGCCTCGCAGCTGTATCAGGTAAGTACCATGCTATTTAATTAATATTTTGATTTTTGCAACAGCATTATGAGCACGCCCTGATTTACTATGATCTAAACATCGTAATGTTATTTTGATTTAATAATGTGTACTTCTTGAGATTTATCACCCGACTTTTATTCGTTCGTTCGTTCTTCTATAAATGGCGACCGTAAATATAAATTCGTGAAAACATGAACAAAGATTTATCGAGAGAGAGTTCACCCAAATTATAGACGATATCAAAGGACAACTAAAAAGTCAAGAAATTTCCAAAAATATGGCAGTGCAACTGATATTATTGCAGTTGAACTTGATTACTTAATACTTGAAGAGATAGCCTCATGAAATGAATATATTGATAAAGTCGGAGACTGGAAGTACGACGGAGGATGATGAGATTCATAGGTCTCATAAGGCGTCAATCCCATTTCTCCTCTATTTTTCTAAATTTACAGTTCTCAAATGGAGATAAAAACATATATTACATACACGTACGTAAGTAGTGCTAGGCGCAGTAATAAATGATCAATTACAGATACCAAGACCAGTACCAAGACTAAGATAGTGTAAAATATTATAAGTAAGATTTTATTCAAACTTTTTCCACGCGGAGAGGCAAAGAGGCAGTTTAATTTAATTTAAATTTTTTTTGCTTATTTTTCTCGCAGAGGGTTTGGAGCATTCGTTGCCTTAGCAACATTTTTTTAGATAATGGGTGTGACAAACGAGCACACAGTCCACTTGAAAGAAAGTAGATGCTGTGGTCCATAGACTACTACATAGATCTACATTTATCTTCGATTAAGAATCAAAATGTAGATGCGTTGTCACCCGTAAGGAATAAGATGAAATGCCTCGCTTAGAGTATAAAGAGTCTCCAGTTCCTTACCCTCACCAAACGAAACACATTATTTGACGATGGTATTCTGGGAGAGCTTGCTCCTTCCCCGGTCAAACAGACCCATTTGTGCTACAACCATAATATAGCTGCAGCTTGGCTCTACCACGTAAAACCATGAATAATAATGTGTTAACAGAATCGTCAAAATTCTTTTAAAATAAAGAACCAAAGAATGACTACATTTTTATAAATATTAATACTTTTGTATTTTATATATATATAGCTCGAAGAACCGATAACCGATGGGGAAAAAAGGTTTTCGAGTGGCGGCCTCTTACCGGTGGACGAAGTGTAGGGGGGCGTCCCCCACTAGATGGAGTGACGACCTGGTAAGATTTGCAGGAAGTTGATGGATGCAGGTGGCTCAGGATCGTGTTATGTGGCATTCCTTGGGCTAGGCCTATATTAAGCAGTGGACTTGTGAAGGGCTGTGACGATGATGATAATGATTATTACGCGTACTTTTTGAGATTTATCACCCGACGCTTATGTTCTTTTTTCTACACTTATAGTCCATCTAAAAGTAAATGGCGACTAATGCTGGTGGTTGAGATATCGCTTAGGATAACTCATATTACAATTAAAAAATACATTTGGAAAGGTCGAATTTGAATTGGAATTTTTATATAATGAATTATTTTTCCACGGAAAGGAAAGCATGGTTGAAGTAAACTTTTAAAGGATCCATAAATCGTTCAATTATTGTGGATAATCATGGCATTGTTTGGATTTGGCCAGTTGCCTACAAAGCAAATCCAATCAATGTAGGAGGGGTTTTATGGGACATTAGTTGATTGCAAAATGACAATTAATGAAAATCAGCGCTGCTGTTGTATCTGCGGTAGCATACTTGTTGGAATTCATTTTCGCATTACATCACTCACTGAGAGTAATTTTTTTACTGAGGTTTATTTTTATTTATGTATCCCTTATCTTGTATTTTTTTATTACTTTTAAATGTACCATGTGAGAGAATTGATGCCATTATAACGTACGTCTATGTCTATGTCAACAAAAAATTATTAACCGCAAAAATAAAACTCTTAAATTGCAGTGCAAATTATCACGGTCTAACTTATATATATATATATATATATATATATATATATATATATATATATATATATATATATATATATATATATACTAGCTCGTCAGGCAGACGTTTTTCTGCCCTTTCCAACGACCCTTCTTATAAAAATCCATAAATTCGCAATAAAAAATTTTGAAAGTCATTTATCTGGATAAAAACTATCCTTTCTCTCAAGTTCAACCAAAATGCACACAGTGTGCAAAATTTGATTAAAATAAGTCAGTAGTTTAGGAGTCCATCGCGGACAAACAACGTGACACGTATATTTATTTATATTTAAAAATTATGTTATTATGTTTCAGCTGCACCCGAGAGGCAACAAAAGATTATCGGTGGAACCAATACAACAATTGAGAAATATCCTTTTGCTGCATCTTTGTTGTACTCGAGGAATTTATTCATATATAAGCAATCTTGTGGTGGTACCATTATCAGCAGCGGATCAATCCTCACCGCGGCTCACTGTGTATTGTACGTCTATTAATTGCCTTACGATTTAGATGAGTTTCATTAAAAAATACTGATATTAATACTTTTCTCCACAGTGGTGACACACGTGACAGATGGCGTATACGTGTTGGTTCCACATTGGCAAACAGGGGTGGTACCGTTCATAAACCTTATCAGATCATCACCCATCCAAACTACAATGGTCGCACACATGACAACGATGTCGCTATATTGCGCACTGTCAATATCTCTTTCAGCAACCGTGTTCGAGCTGCCAGTATTGCTGGTTCCAGCTACATTCTCCGTGACAATGAGACTGTATGGGCTGTTGGATGGGGAAGAACTTCGGTAAGATTAAAAATAACATTAATCGGTTGCCTTCAAAAGTGTCTCTAAAATAGATGCAATCTTACTAAGGATTAGGCTTCGGTCGATTCAGAAAATTTGTGACGCGTTGAGAAGATTAAAGGCATTTTAATAAATTTTTTCATATTTTTTTTTTATTGTTAACAAAGATGTAAACCTCACCTGTTAGTAAAATATGGTAGACGAACTAAGACTGACTGTAAACAGCTTTTTTATGAATTTTTATTTAATGTTAACTACTTTTACAAGATTAGCACTAAAGTTCAGGAGTGCAGAGGACGAATTGCGGTTTTCACTCTGCTAATAGCAGTCAGAGAGCATATCTTACCATGGTCTTTTTAGTAGTGCACTAAAGAGATTTCGGTTATTTTCAGGTCGGAGGTTCTACTTCTGAGGAACTGCGCCATGTTCAGGTCTGGACTGTCAACCAAGCTACATGCAGAAACCGTTATGCTGAACTAGGCAAGACTGTCACAGACAACATGTTATGTTCTGGATGGCTTGATGTTGGCGGTCGTGACCAGTGCCAAGGTGACTCCGGTGGCCCACTTATTCATGTAATCACACAATCACACAGTGCCATTGTTGGTGTATGCTCTTGGGGTGAACAGTGCGCTCTCGCACGATACCCTGGTGTCAACGCTCGTGTTTCTCGATTCACATCCTGGATCCAATCAAACGCATAAATGGCATTCAATTATTTTTATAAATATATGTAAAAATATAACAATTCTGTGTTTTCTTTAATATATAAGATAATATAGCTTAAAATATTTTATGTATTTAACTACTATTAACATTTAATAAATGTTTTATTGATAAAACATATTATAATGTTGATTTTATGCTGTCAATATTATAAAAAAATCAATTATCGAAAAAAATTGAAGTTTGCGATTATCTGTGGTGGTGCACCCGCTGCTGTTTTAGCTGCGGCCCCGGCAGCAGAAGTCAGAGTCCAATGATGATATGGGCTTTGATCTCTTTGACTAAAAAGCTTTATCTTAAAGCTGTGGTATTCTATTGTAAGCTTTATGAAGCTTGTCTAAATATAAGAAAATTTATTGAAACCATAATATACTATAATACATAGGTGAAACTCGTGCTTTGTTTATATATCGGTTTGTATGGGTCTTTTTTATATACTTACACTGTGTGACCTGACTTTTCTTTTATTTAGAAAAAAAAGTCGGACTTATTGTTAAAAGCGTTTTCTGTTAGTCGACCTTAAAGCAGTGATATAACATCGAAGACGTTTATAGAAAAAGCAAACTAGAATTATAAAAATATATACAACTAGCTGGTACCCGCCGCGTTGCTGCCGCAGAAGAAATAGTTGTGCATATCGTTTTAAATTTGGAATGAATGAATGAAATAATACATTCATTGAAATTTTATGATATATAACTTTAAGATAAATTTGTCAATATGACAAATGTGCAGCCACCTACTGTAAGTTAATTGTACTATACCGACAAAGTTTCAGCGCAATCTGATGAGCGGTATGGCAGCGCATGAAATACGATCAAACAAACTACATGTAACGTGGTAGAGCCATGCTGCAGCTATATTGGAAATATAGATTTAGCACGATTGGGTCGGCTTGACCAGGGAAGGACCACGCTCTCACAGAATATCAGCGTAAAATAGCAACTTAACACTGCTGTGTTTCGTATGGTGACTGTAGAGAAACGGAGACCCTTTTTACTAGAAAAGAGGCATTCCATCTTAATCCTCACGGGTGACAACGCATCTGCAGTTTGATTCTTTATTGAGGATAGATGTAGATGTCTATGGGTCACAGTAACCACTTACCATCAGGTGGGCTGTGCTCGTTTGTCATCTCATCCTAAAAAAAAACATTAATATAAATAATTTGAGAAATAATAAAGTCAAACCTTCCTCTAAAATTTAAAAAAAAAATTTTAGATTCATGTATATTTTACCTTGTTTGTCCTATGCAAGCCAAACTTGGACATGCAACACCTACACAAAAAGAAAAATTGAAATATGCCAGAGAGCAAAGGAACGAGGCTTACTTAATCTGAAACGTAAAGACAAAAAACGAAATACTGAAATTAGAAAAAGAACAAATGTTATAGATGCTCTATCTCATTGTAAGATACTTAAATGGAAATGGGCGGGGCATATTGCAAGTATGGAAGATAAAACATGGACTAAGAAGGTCACTATATGGGCTGGTCTTACTGGAAAACGAAAAAGAGGTAGAACTCTAGAAAGATGGACGGATGAAATTGAAAAATTTGCTGGAAACGATTGGATTTCAGTGGCCAAGGATAGGGAAAAGTGAAAAAATCTGGAGGAGGCCTATACTCGTAGAGAGCTCCAACAATAATCAGATAAATAAAAACAAAAATTAAAATTAAAAATTATTGATTGTAACGATAATTTTATCTTATTTAAATGTATTTTCTTTCATGATCTGATTATATTATAATTTTATTTCTAATTTTAAATTATTTAATGAAATTAATAGTTAATGAAATGTATTTTATTAATTTTGTTAAGGAAATAAATGGCTTTATAATAATAATAATAATAATTTGACTGCTCCGTGGCGCAGTGGCTTAGCAATGAGTTGTTGCGCTGGGGGCCGCGGGTTCGAATCCCGCACGGAACAATTATTTGTATAGCCTACAAATAGTTGTTCCGGGTCTCGTGCAATTTATGTTTGTAAACTGCCTCCGCGACACAGGAGAAAATCCTAGGGGTAACGTTGATAGTATCTTACTTTTTAAATGTTGTAAGACAGTATATTGATCAATTCGTATTCTACATATTTCGCCATTCGTGGCATGCGAAAAAAATTTTTTTTTAAATATAAATGTGTTTAGAACAAATGAACTAACATTAGAAATATACACATAATATTCCAGTATGTAACTACCACTTTGTAATGATTACAGTTTTTTTAGAAGAACATAACAATATTCGGAAAATAACCTTTAATTCAATTGAGAAGTATCACGCAAAATCCTGGATCTATAGTAACTTACTTAGCTAAACAAAATCAACAAAAAAGAAATCAAAAGCGAAATCGAAATTTATAGTTAAAGAATTCTTTGATGTTATAAAAGGCAGTATTTATTAGCCACTGCTTTAAACTTTTTTTTATTCGCGTTAATGGCTGTTCACAAATATTTTTAGGAACTTTATTATATATCTTGATACACATTACGAGACAATTCCTGTGGACTAATGTAGTTCTACAAGGTGGCATCAGTAGACGTGTCGGATCTCTTTTTGCCAATTTATTATTTTCCTGCACGGTAACAAATTGATTTGTATTATTTTTTACAAAAACGCAGATTTCTAATATATATAAGCCAGTTAAAGTGAGAATATTTTTTTCCTTAAACAGGGGTCTACAGCTCTGTAGAGAGCCTACGTTACACAGTGCACGAATACATACTATATACACAAAAAATTATACAGTTGTAACTTGGTACCTCTATACCGCAACACTCGAAAACTTTGTCTGCAGATAATTCATGGCACAATTGTATAACTTTAAATTCTATTAACTTTCTAATAAGGATACATACTCCCCCACGTTTTTCTTTTATTCTACAATATAGTGAAGCTAATTTAAAATGTTTAAACTTAATGTTACTCTCATCTCCCTTTTTAAAAAATGTTTCACTAAAACATAAAAGAGCTTATTGATTTTATTAGCTCATCAATACATAGTTCTATCAAATCCGTTTTGTTAAGCAAACCTGCTATGTTTTGATGTAGTATGGAAGTAATTTCATGTTTTTGGTCGTTATTGTGTACGAAAAAATGGAGTCGTGGACATATTTAGGCTTGTGCTATTTTCAACAGTTAATGTCTATTTAATTTATTCACCTTTTTGAAATAATATGGTATGGTGCCAATTTTAGGTTCAGCAGTTTTACTTCCGTAAGATAACGTAATTATTTCTTGGGATTTTCCCATAGATAAAATTAAGAACGCTGGTGTCACTACTACAATAAAATCTTATCTATCCTTAAATGAAAATGAATCCAAATGTGCTCGAGTTTGGGGCTGATCAACTGGCGGAACAAGCAATACTAGTGGTGGAGCGTTTTCCGCATCTATACCATTGAACAAGATATTAGGATTTGCAGAAGATTATGAAAAAATTATAATTAATTGTAAACATGAGTTAGTATTATTACGAAGCAATACAAATCTTAATGCGATCAAGTTAAATACAGGTGAAGTTGTAGAAGATATTATAATAAATAAAATAGTTTGGCGAGTTCCACACATAAAAGTAACAGATCGTGAAAGAATCAGCCTATTAAAACTTTTAGAGAAAGATAGAGCTATTCCATTGGCATTCCGTTCCTGGGACTTATATGAATATCCATTGCTACCCAAAACACGTAAACATACTTGGTCTATAAAAACTTCATCGCATATAGAGAAACCACGATTTGTGGTCATTGCCTTTCAAACCAACCGCAAACATAACGCGAAATTATCAATGGCAGAGTTTGATCATTGTCACGTACGAGATGTAAGAGACTTTTTAAATTCATCATATTATCCTTATGAGGGGCTGAATGTCAGATTTCCGGAAGATAAGTTTACTTTATTATACGATCAGTATGCGAGATTTCAACAGTCGTATCATGGACGCCGGTCAGAGCCGTTGATGGGTTTATAGGAGTTCAGAGACTTGACTCCATTATATGTAATTGATTGTTTAAGACAATACGAAACTTTAAAAGGTTCGATCGATGGGAGAGTTGAAATCGAAACAGACCAAGAAATACCAGATCAGACAACCGCTTATTGCTTGATATTAAACGACTGTATATTCGAATACAAACCACTGACTAATATCGTTAAGAAAATATCATGAATAGCAATACAATAATCGTCGATTTTCAAGGCTTCAAAAATAGCAAAAACAAATTTAAAGTAAAGGAATTTGCTATAGCCACTCTAGAGTACACCAATATATTCCTAATTAAACCTCCTTACCCATTTACTTCAATATCTCCTGAAGAGAAAAAACAAATTGGATGGATTGAAAAGCACAGAGGGTATCGACGGAGTGAGGGCTTTATTGATTATAGAGAGTTTCACAGAATTATAAAGACATATTTAAAAGATAAAAAGATTTTTTTAAAAGGATCTGAAAAAGTTAAATGGGTGCAGGATATTTGTGATGAAAATAATACTATCATAGATATAAGTTGCTTAGGAGCTCCCAATTTACGTGGTAGAGCCATGCTGCAGCTATATTAATAGTATAGTTGTAGCACGAATGGGTCGGCTCGACCGGGGAAGGCTCTCACAGAATACCAGTGTAAATAGCAGCTTAACACTGCTGTGTTTCGTATGGTGAGTGTAGAGAACCGGCGACCCTTTTTACTGGAAAAGAGGCAATCCATCTTAGTCCTCAAGGGTGACAACACATCTGCTTTTTGATTCTTGATTAAGGATAGATGTGGATGTCTATGGGTCACAGCAACCACTTACCATCAGGTGGACTGTGTGCTCGTTTGTCACCCTATCCTATAAAAAAAATTTAAATACTCTTTGTGAACTTTATTGTAAAGATACTTTACTGTATAACTGTTTTACTCATAAGAAAATATGTGCGTTAAAAATGTTTTATGTATTAAGAAATGGTGTTTTGAAAACAAAATGATTGTTTGATTTCTAATAAAATATATGTAAATAAACACTTCAACTTTTAATTTAAACTACCTTTGTGTTAGAGAAGAAAAAAAATAGTTTTAGACCGTTAACGATTAGTACTTATTATTGAAGTAACTGTTTTTTTTTTGTACCACCTTGCATTTTTAACGATGAAATAGATTAGACTTCATATTTTGTTGTTATATTATTAAACCATTTGTATTTGAGATTCCGAATGAAACGGTATTAGAATTGGAGCAAAGATAAAAAAAGCGGATCGAGAATTAGACTAAAAATTTTGGACCTCTAAATGAGAGAATTGGGGCCTTAAGCGGCATCTAGCTCGAGCGAAGCGAGAGCAAGTGACGCAGAAGCCCCAATTCACACCTACCTAATAATATTTCTTTCATGGCTAGATAAGAAAAAGTGCGAAAGACATGGATATTATTCCATCTCACTCCCTTATTTCGTCGCCAAGGCCATCTACACTATTACACAAGAGGTCGTGACGAAAAAATCTTACACTTTTTGTCATCTAGCTCCCATCTGCCAAGCCCGTACCGTCCGATAAAGAACTTCGTTCCAAAACTCAATTTTGAAAACTATTTACAACACAATGTAATATTACGTTTTGTCTTTCTTTATCAAATCCGTAGGTGACAGCATTATTTACAAACCTGTCGTGGTTTATAGATGCTATTTTACTTCTACTTTTGTATTCAACTTGTAAATGATATATAAATTAGGAAAAGTATTTCTTATTGAAAGTCATTTGCATATGCATTTGCATTTAATACTCGAGAAGCGAAAGTTTTTTAAATATTAATTTACGACGTATGTTGCACAATTGGATATGGTTTGGAAACACGGTAGCGATAAACTAGAAAGGTAGATGAGGCAAACCACTAAATTTGTTACACCAATATCGGCTCTGAGCTGTATTACATCATTCCACTGGCCACACTGACTGATGGAAGATGTGGTAAAACTTTAAGGTAGAAATTTTCTATTAGTTTAAAATTGAATTTCAAGTGAAATATGTTAGGGAAGTTTAAATGAGAGTTAGTGTGAACTTACTGTATTCAATAATGATCAAGAAGTCTATATAATGTATTGATGTCCTCCAGAACAAATATCGGTGACTGCAGCCGTTTTTAGTCAGATCCGGGATTCGAACCCGAGACCTTATGATCATCCATCGCGTTTACGACCACTAGAACAATGCGGTAGTCAATTGTAGAAAGTATTAAATGAAACTAATTTCACGGATTTTATCGCGTTTAATTTTACTTCTTAATTCTCGACGTAAAATTAGTTTCATTTAATATGTAGTATTCGCGTAAATATAAAAAAATATTTAGTGTATACGATATATATTAAAAATTTTGTACAGTTTATTATACGTGTAATTTATAGATTGTACTGGTACGTGTCGTAGGCAGGGAAAATCCTCTTATCATGCTTTGCCATTTTGTGCTACGAGGTATGTATGTAGGTGATTTGGCGATAGTATGACCTGAGATCGCTCTTTGAAGATATTCCCACCACTGGTCTGGCGATCTTATGTTTAGATATATTTTCAAGGTGGCGGTACTTATTTTCTGTTAGAACTTTTGTCACTTCAGTTTTATAAAAAAAAAAGGATAAAATCATGCTGTGAAGTTGCACACAGTTACAGTTATTTAAAAAAATTAAAGAATGAAAATAATTTTAACCTGTTCTAGTGTAATTTAACATAATATAAATAAGTAAAAGAAGGAATTCATCGTGTACTGGCGCTGCAAGAATATCCTCATATCATCCCGTAGGTGACGTAAAAGGCGACTAAGTGAAACCGAAGTAGGAAATAGGCAGAGCATCTGCCTACTACAAAATAATAATAAAACTGTGGTTGCTAAACAAACTACCAAGCGTGACAACTACGGCAAAAATGCCTCTATGAGCCTGAGGCAAACCTATGTTCAGCAGTGGACTTTTATAGGCTGTAATAGATGGAAGGAAACGAAAGCATTATTACTGTTATTATGTAAAAGGCTACTATATTATTATTATTAATATAGTAGCCTTTTACATTAACTAGCGACACACCCCGGCTTCGCTTGGATAGGATCTATTAATATTGTATTATTTAAATTTAAGATAATCACAGACCATTTTATATATTTTTATATCAGAGACCATTTGTAGGGTTCCGTAGCCAAATGTCAAAAAACGGAACCCTTATAGATTCGTCCTGTCTGTCTGTCTGTCCATCCGTATGGCACAGCCATTTTTTTCCAAAACTATAAGAACTATGCTGTTAAAACTTGGTAAGTAGATGTATTCTGTGAACCACATTAAGATTTTCACACAAAAATAGAAAAAAAGACAATAAATTTTGGAAGTTCCATATTTACTTCCTCGCACAACTTCCTTGTGGAATAGTTTACCACCAGCGATTTTTCCGGACCGATACGACTTAGGGACCTTCAAGAAAAGTGCCTACTCCTTTTTAAAAGGCCGGCAACGCATCTGCAATTCCCCTGGTTCCCCCGGTGTTGCGGTTGTTCATGGACGGCGGTAGTCACTTACCTTCAGGCGAGCCGCGTGCTCGTTTGTTTATTTCTTTTTTTTTTTTAATCTTTAAGATTTTTGGATAAAATATTACTTTGATCCCTTCTAGTATTGCTTTCTATCTGTTCGTAAAGTTTCATGGCAAAGTTTAAAAAAATGGTTGTTTATGCTTGCAAGTAACCACCTGTGTTAAATAGAAGCTAGTTATTTTAATATTAAAGACATACACATCATTTTAATTTATATATATTCATAGCAAATATTATTAAATATACAAAAAAGGTTAAACTTGCAGATTATAAATTATAGAATGTATAATATAAAGGTTCGTAACGTTCTCATAAGTGATCATTCAACATTTGGCTCGTTTCCAAGAGGCACTTGTCATTGACAAGCACCTTCGTAAGCCCTTGGTATACTTTGTATTGCCAGTCGTATATCGCATAATGTACTGAAACTATTTTTGATGAGAATTTTGCAATAATATTACAATGTTTTTTTTACCTCTTTGATCACATCAATTCTTTAGTCCACTGATTACATGGGACCCTCTCATATGGGGAGTTTGCTTTAATCCTTTACACTCATCAGACAATTTGTTTATTTTATATTACGTTCTTTGTGAAAGAATTTTATATAACATTGCTTAAGGGGATAATAATATTATATCTAAGCGGCAAGATGTTTGAAGAATAGGTTTTTAGAGATCTACTGCTGTACCGTTGTCCCGAACAACCAGACCAGACAACCGATAGAGACAATAATTATATTTATCTACTAGTTGATTCATAAACGGGTATCGTTAATACGAGTACGTTGACAGGAGATCAACGGTTGATTCAACGTTCATCGCTAATACATAGTAATGAATTACCATGATTTCGCACGTGGACTCTCTTTTCCTGTATAGGACAGTTACTATACTCTTTGGTCTATCCTCAGCTTAGGATCATAATGCAGTAGGACTAAGATGGATTGCCTCATTTCCAGTAAAATGGGTCTCCGGTTCTTTGCACTAACCATACGAAATACAGCAACATTAAGCTGCTATTTTACGTTTGTATTTTTATTTCGGTTATCATTTACCATTTGGATTATTAATCTTTTACTCTATGTATATAGTACATAGATACATATAAAATTGAAGTGGCTGTCTGTAATATCAAAATAACTGACTTCCATTAAGCTCTGGTTTTTGTTACATGTTGTTTTATTTTGATGATATTAAGACTTAGAGATATATCCGCAATAGAACTAGAGTAGCTGACGTAGTTCAATGGATTAGTAAGCTGAAGTGGCAATGGGCCGGCCTTATAGCTACGATGGGGAAGAAAGGTTCTCGGGTGGCAGCCTCGTACCAGTAAGTGAAGTGTAGGATAGATTAAATGGAGTGACGATCTGGTAAGACATGCAGTAATGGATGTAGGTGGCTCAAAATGGTGCTTTTTGGCATTCTTTGGGGAGGTCTATGTTCAGCAATGGACTTGTGAAGGGCTGTAATGATGGTTAAGACGTTGATAACCATATTCAAAATTTTGTTTGTCTCTCTGACAGGGTCAATGTTCGGAATGTCTGAACCGAATGTGATAAAACTTCACTAACAGATAGAGTAATGCCAGGAATCACCGCGACTGTATCTTATCAGAAAACCATGCAGGATTT